GGGCTAGAGTGACCAAGGCTAATTGAAACCACATTTTGATTCAGGAGAGAAGAATTCTCTGTAAGCCAATTTAAAACAGTTGTTAAACAGGTTCTAGGAACAACAGCAATTATATCTATACAGGCCAAATATCACATTTGTTTCTATTGCAGTGACTGTGCTAAAAGTCAGTGAAAGGTGGGTAAGATGGTAATTGGATTCTATGGGTAAAAAGCAATCTCGTTGAAGTTAGTTTCATCTCCAATTTGATCTATTTCTTTGTTGAACTGAGCAAAGATGCTCATTTCTTGTTCAATAGCTTGGACTCGATCCTCAATAGAAGACACGGTGTTCTGGAGCTGATCCACAAGATTCTTTAACGTAGCCTGGTTAGTCAACACCATACTCAGAGCTTCTTGATTCTTCAGAAAAGCATCTACATAAGGCAAGACACATAAGTATGACCATTCTTCTTCCAAGAAGTTGCTTGTACCTAGTTCCTTCCTTTTCTCCTATGCTCCATTTTACCCCCAATTTAATCCAATACGATACAAAGATTTTAAAGCAATCTGACGGGGAATTTTGGGAGCTGTAGCCCCAACATATCTGGACAGCACCAGTTTGGGAAAGGTAGATTTCAAATCAGTTGAGGGGAATTCTTAGCAAGTTCACACAACTGTATAGGTCCTGGCTAGTGAGCCATAGTTTACCCAATTCATAACTTTTGCTGGATTCACAGGCCGCATCTCAGCCCAGGATATGTAAACCAGCCTACAATTGGGCAAAAATTCAAGAAGTGTGATAAAAATCTTATTTTGACAAAAAATATGAACTTGAGGCCACAATGAAGCCTGCAATACAATTCCATGATGCTGCGGTTTTCAAAAACCCTCTAGTCTAATATATCCCTGTTTTTGGTAAAGGTAAATATGGACCCATTTCAAAAACCATGAATAATGAAAACATTTAGACTTATTTTTGGGGGTTTTAGAAGCATAGCATTTTTCCTTAGACCGTTATGAATTTAAAAAAAAACCTTTCCTAAAACACAAATCCATTATATATTAGAACCACTTAGAGAGGGCTGTAAAGCAGTATGAAGTGGCATGTAAATCTGCTACTGCAATTATATAGTTACATACATATTATATATTAAAATTGTTAATATATTGATTATATATATTGTGTAGATTAGATGCTAATGCAATCTTTGTGTAGAGTGATTGTGCACTCTTTGTGTAGAGCACAGGTGTCAAATTCCCCACATCACATTGCAGACATGTGAGGTTTCCTCCATTGAGAGCTGGGGTGGGCATGGCCTATGTGTGACACATCGGCCCATGGATCACCAGTTTGACACTCCTGGTGTAGAGTGTACACTCCATCTACACAGATTGTTTTCTAGGAAAAGCACACTTTCCAAATCTGATGCTTCCTTCCAATGCATTGGACTACCATTATCCCAGGTGAGCTTAGGATATCAGAATAGATAACAATAGACGGAGAAAGAGCCAGGATGTACACAACAAACCCAGAGCTCCAACTGATTGTTCAGTGGAATCTTGTAACTTACCATGCATGGCTTCTGGGTGCCACTTGCAACTGGTTGGCTGCATATCAGGGGTAGTTTTCATCTGTGATGCCCTTGAGTAGAGGGAAGGCAGCAGGTGTGGTTGGCTTTGTTGGTCTATCTCATTCAGTACTTCTTGATTGTCACTGCCTTTAGCAAACACAGTTTAACAAGGCATTTATCCTCATTTTACTGCAACCGGTTTCCTTTTACCAAGTTTTAGTATAATATTACAAACTCCTTTTTTTTTTCATGAGCCTTCCCCTCCTCGCCTCCCATTTGCCATCTGAAAATTCAACTGCAGATTTTCTTAATGGGCAATTTGATTCGTGGCCTTTCTGGACAACAGCTAAGGGCAACTGTTTCTGAGCTTACCGTGGGCTTGGAATACACCTTTGTACTGAATAAACTCAAGCTGAATGTATTCAGCTTTACTGTACACCAGGGAAATATCAGGAGATGCTTAACCCTGGCTAACTCAATTAACCAGGCTCATGCAGCTTATGGAAGTTATTAATATTGCAGCTTGAGTTTTATTCCCCCCCCCCCATCCTATCTTTTGGAGGTATAAAATTAAAATAACGAGCAAAATTCCAGGGGCTAAATATACAGAATAGAAACACAAATCAGGAGGGAAGCCAGTTGAGGAGGACCAATAAACAAACAGGGAAGTTGAGAATAAGCCTTTACAAAATAACTCTTCATACACTACACACACACACTCTCTCTCTCTTGCCCCCCCCCCAAATTATAAAACTATCCCTCAAATAATTTGCTCATGTACAGAGTTCCTCTCTCTCTCACTGAAGGCCACCCCAAATTATCCTTGCCTATCTACGAATAAACCATACCCAGTTCTCAACAGGCCTGCTCCTATTTTAAATCTATTTTCTACAAGTTAAGCTTTAAGTGTCATGGTTTCATTCTCTTCGCTGCAAATAACGACCTCCCTTTTATCTATTTTTTTTTTAAAAAAAGCTGTTGGACATGTCCCTCACCCAATTCTACTCGCAAATCTCCTTTCAGAGTCATTGCACTTTCCACCGGCTTCGGCGGCACCGCCTCCTGCAGCAACGCCACTCCCCGCCCTTCCATCTTACTAACGCCGAGAGATCCGACCAGCAATCAGCGTCGCCGACGGCTCGAACATTTATACACCACTCAGATGCTTTCATTCTATTAGAGCTACCTGTGGATTCCATTCAGGTCCGATTTGACTTGTAACCAATCAGCTTCCAGCAAACACCCCCCCCCCTCCAAGCCTGTCTTTCTTCTTGTTTATTAGTTGATTATATAGAGACGTGAAGCGTTAGGAAGTAATACGCTGACTTACTCAGGGTCGGGAAGAGAAACAATGTTGAGGTATTTTAAAAAACAAAGCATTTATTATGGCCTAGGGCTTTCCTAGAATTGGGGTGTGGGGTGGGGGAAACCTGAGGAATGCTGCCTTTCGGATCAACAACTTTTTACCAAAAGGCATAAACTCTGATTTTTTTCATCATAAACTAACACAGCTGTCCTATCATGTTTAAAACGAAGAAGATAGGTGCAATTATTTTCATTTCAATATCTTCTCAGTCCACCATCTTTCCATAGTTAGGCTACAGTACTATCAGGCAGGAAAAGTCCCACCCCCCCACTCCCAGTTTGAAAACTCTTTGTGAAGGAATAGTTCATTGATGCCTTGACCATTAACTGTTCAGCAAAGTGAAGCCTTTCATAAATTCTGGAGATAAAATCAATCAATAGAAAAGGGCCAAATTGAGATACATCAGCTTTTCTCAAACCAGAACTCTCAAGGAGATTGGAGCCAATGTTCATCATTCCAAAGTCGAGTTCACATTTTTGGGATTAGAAATCCAACACCTCTAGAAGGCATGGTGTAAAAATACTGAGTCAAGCCAAAGCAGCTAAAGGAAACAAACCACTGATATCTTTAACTCCAATTGTGGTTTCATTTTTATTGTGGTCCACAGGCTTCAACAAGTGTTAATATTTAGTATAATTAAGTAGTTTTTACACAAGTCTTTTAATTGAATTCCAGATGGTGACATTATTTTGTGATGCTGCAGGCATGCATGCAGGTATATCTATTTTATCTGATGTGAATTTTGAAGTTCCAGATGTTGTAATGCTGCAGGCATGCATATAGGTATATCTATTTTATCTGATGTGAATTTTGAAGTTACAGATTTATCAAATAAATCCCTTGCATTGAATTCTGCAGTTCACAGGTGTTTGTTGTTATTGTTTCAGCATCGTGTTAGAAGGTGGGGAATAAGATGACCATTAGGAATGGATGAATAAACCAAAGATTATTCCAACTTAAGTGGATAGTATTGGTTGGCAGGATTCACACAACACATCAGACTAAAATGGAATTGGATAGATAGTTCAAGGTGTTGCAAGAACTCACTCCCTGCCTTAGCACGATATATATCAGACCATTATAATACGATTTGTTGGGGAATCTCTGTTATTTGAATACAATTGTATTTTGTTTTAATTTAAATAAAAGATTAAGAGGATTGAGGGAATGTAGTGTCAGACTTTGGACTAGGCAAAAGAAAAAGAAAATACAGTTTTTTAAATGGTAAGTTTTCAGGATAAGAAGCTCTATTTTCCATTTTACAGAACCGAGGCTAAAAGACAGTTAACAAACCACAATCATCTGGTGATTCTGCTGCTGAAGTGGGATTTGAGCTTAAATCACTTGGGTGCAAAAATAAATTCCAACTTTCTACTTTATCTGGTGCTACCAGTTTTCTCCAAAAGAGTGCTCTATGTTTAAAACAAAACATATTTAACCTGAAATAAATGCAAGTCAGCCCCACAGACTTTATTGCCAAATAAGCATCAATAGGGATTGCAGCTGAAATTTCTTTACAATCCCATGCAAAATTCATTACTTTTAAATTGACTTATGAGTCCCCTAAAATATTATTTTGTTTTGGAAATGAGGAACATTTATAAATTGATAATTGTAAGCAACAGTTTTTATGTTTTATTCCACTGCTCTCCTCTCAATAAAATTCATCCACCTATCCATCCATTCCATTTCTATAGTCACCCATCTCAGTCAATGGTGGTTTACAATGGGGGAAAAATTACAATCGAAAGACTAAAAACATTTTAAAAACAACTAAACAAACAAACAAACAAGAAAATGAGAAACATCCAACATAAATATATATAGCAGCCAAGATTCTTGGCGAGTTCGCAATATAGCCAGGAGATGGGACCCTTAACACATTTGGCACCCCAGGCTTAGGAACATTGCTGGGAGTTTAGGATTTATGAAAAGTTAACAGGGTTGGGGCCATTTTAATCTCTGAAGGGAAGAGGTTCCATAGAACGGGCCACCGCAGAAAAAGCCCATCTTCTAATCCCCATCAGACGACACTCTTTGGCTGACAGGATCTGCAGCATGACTTTCAGGAAAAGATGATACTCAGGTACCCCTGTACCAAGCCATGTAGGCCTTTAAAGCTAAATCACCAGCACCTTGAACCCAGAAACACCAGCAATTAATGCAGCTCAAGCAAAAAAATGTATTATGCGTGCCATGTATCTGGCACCATTTACTACCCGTACAGCCACATTCTGCACCAGTTGGAAGTTTCTGAGCCATCTTCAGGCGCAGCCCCATGTGGAGTGTGTTACAGTAGTCTAAATGATAAATTACAAGGATTTGAATTACTGTGAGCAAGGCCTCCCGGTCTACGTATGGGCACAATGGTGCACCATCTGAAAGTGTGCAATGATCCTCTTTAGCGACGGCTGCCATCTGTTCTTTGAGCAGTCCATAAGGATCGCCAAATTATAGACTGGGTCTGTTTGGAGTAGTGCCAACCCCATATAGTTCAGCCTAGAAAAGCAATGTGGCCATGGCAAATATCTCAGAAGGAACCTTTCCTAGTTCCTTGACAGGTAAATGCAGGGGAGAAATATATTTTCAGACTTGTATGATTCCGCTAATGTAACTGTACAATAAAGTAGGAGGAGTTCATTCAGGCATTCTTCCTGCTTGGACTACTTTGCAAGGCCCACTGCACAATTATCTGTCATTCTTGACGATAGCAAGTGTTTATGGGATTTGAAACATCACCACAGGCTCCCATTGATCTACAGTAAATTATTTTGTCCAAGCTTGGCACCTTTGTCTTAAACCAAACCTCCATGAGTATCAGCCAGCATAGTCATCAGTCAGGATTAATAGGGACTTTTCCGTATAGCTGGCTTGAGACGATTCTCAGCGGCTTATTGGGATCTCAAGCAGAAGTCTCTTCCCACCTACAGATCAACGTTGGGGCAATCTACACGCAGCACAAAAGATGTCATGAAGAGGAGGAATCTGGTTTCAGATTTCCTTCCTTGCCTTGCAGTAAGATGCTACCAGAAAGAAGATACTGACTCTCAAGGCCAGGGGTAGTAGTAAAATTTTCTAACCACCCACCGGTTCCACAGTAATGGTGATTTATAAAGTAGGGAAGTACGTAACTTTACTTTATAAAATGTATAAAGCAGAGTTACAGCAAATCCTTACCTCCCACCATGAAAGCTGGAACGCCCACTAGTGGGCGATAGGGACCAGGTTGACTACCACTGCTCAAGGCTCTCCAACTTTAGGCAGTCTAAATGCTTCAAGTACGTTTTCTGCAGCTCCTTCAGATTGTGGTGCAACACCAGGTAAACTTTGGATGCCTTTGGATGCTGGAACATCCTACCCGTAAATAAATGGATCCTCATGCACACCATCGTCCTATGCTTCCACTTAATCCTATTCATTAGGTAAAGAGGGAGCATGTAGCTTTTGCTCAGCTGGCTGCTGCCTTAAACTTTCCCCCCACCAACTTGTGGTAATGAGCCAGTTCAAACCATCAATAAAACCAGTAGTGTTCTGGCAATAGAAGAGATTATCTGTAGCTCTGGGTTGAACTGAGGAGTTCTTGGTGTTCTCTAAGCTTAGGGTTTTTGCTTACAGATATTTCATTACCCAACTAGGTTGAAAAAAAAGTAGGTAACATCACAGGTGATGTTATGTTTGCAGACCTTTCATTATTATCCAACTATCACTGGCTGGGTTATGAAAGGACTAAGCTCAGAGATCACCAAGGGCTCTTAACAACAGTATTCTACCACTTCAGAATGCATAAGATCCAGGGATTATTGCAACACTGAGTATGCCTCATATCAAAAGCTCCAGGCCCGTGTAAACATCCCTCAGAAGAACACAAACATGGGCTTCCTTCACTTTTAGGACCACAACTATATTCCATTCCAGCCCGTTGCAAACTAGCTCTTCTTGGCTCCAATGGGACAAAATTAGCATTCTGCCCAATTGGTTGAGTGAGGAGAGAAGATAATTGCTTCCCCTAACCCACCCACCCCACAAAATTGCTTTGCGCAGCTAGGATGTTGGGGGAGGGGGTGGCCATCCCTCTTGAGGGTAGGGGGATGCCCATCTACAGCTGTTTTCCCCTAACCTCCATGGATCTGGAGGTAAGAATCCCTTCCCACCCCAGCTCCGCAGCCCTCCAGCTGAGACAGCACTGGGGATGAAGCCCTGGAAAGGCAGTGGGGCCTCGGGCCAGGTGGAGACAGCTGTGGGGATGCTGTTCCTCTCCCCCTCGCTCCACCAGGAGGGCATGAGAGAAAGAGGAGGGTCAAGAACAGCAGGGAGCAGTTCTTTGGAGTGCTTAGTCTCGGTCAAAACAGAGCAGCCCTTCTGGCCTTCAGGTTGTTCTTTGGGGAGCTCCTCTGCCACATGAGTATGTTGATGGCGGTTGCGGTGTGAGCTGCGGCTGAAACACTTCCCACACTCTGCGCACGGGTACGGCTTCTCGCCTGTGTGCACCCTCAGGTGCCGCTCCAGGTGGGAGACGAAGCCAAAGCTCTTCCCGCAGACGGTGCAATCGTAGGGTTTCTCACCGCGGTGGGCCCGCTGGTGCGTGAGCAGCTGGGCCCCGGCCATGAATCGCTTCCCGCACTCCTTGCACTTGTGAGGCTTTCCGCTCGAGTGCGTCCGTTGGTGCTGCAAGAGCGTGGAGCTGACGCTGAAGCTCTTCCCGCATTCAGCGCAGTGGTAGGGTTTCTCTCCCGTGTGGATTCTGCGGTGGCGGTCCAGGTGGGAACTGACGCTGAAGCACTTCCCGCAGTCCCCGCACTGGTAGGGCTTCTCCCCTGTGTGGATCCGCTGGTGTCTTTCCAGGTGGGAGCTCCAGCTAAAACTTTTCCCGCAGTCAGGGCACCGATAACGCTTGCTCCCGGGCATGTGGGATTTCTGGTGCTTGACCAGCGAGGCCAGTTCCCCGTAGGTTTTCCCACACTCGGCACACTTGTGGGGTCGGTCGGGAGAGTGCACGCGCTGGTGCCTTTCCAAATGGGAGCTGACGCTGAACGCTTTCCCACAGTCCCCACACCGGAAGGGCTTCTCTCCCGTGTGGGTCCGCTTGTGTTTGATCAGGGCCGAGCACCAGCTGAAGTTCTTCCCACACTCGGGACACTGATAGGGCCTCTCTCCGGTGTGGATCCGCTGGTGTTTTACTAGGGATGAACTCTGGCCAAACCCTTTCCCACAGTCGGAGCATTTAAAGGGCTTCTCGGTAGACATTGGCGGGGAGGGAGGAGGTGGGAGAGGCTGAGGAGCCACCCGCTTACGGTTACATTCGGTGCATTTGGTGGGGTCTCTGCTGTGGGCTGGAGATGTCTGGAGGTGATGGAGGGTGGCCGCACTGAGGTAGTAGCTTTTGCCACAATCTGTGCACTGATGTGGCTTCTCCCCCGTGTGGATTCTTTGGTGCCTGTAAAGGTGGGAGCTGCGGCTGAAACGCTTCCCACAGTCGGGGCACTGGTAGGGCCTCTCGCCCGTGTGGATCCGCTGGTGTCTCTCTAGGTGAGAGGTGAAGCTGAAACTTTTCCCGCAATCGGGGCACTCATAGGGCTTCTGGCCCAGATGTTTCCTCTGGTGAGCCACCAAGTTGGCCCCAAGCGTGAAGCCCTTCCCACAGTCCTCACACTGGTAGGGCTTGTCATTGGCGTGAGTCCTCTGGTGCTGGACCAGGGTGGAGCTCACACTGAAACTCTTCCCACACTCTTTGCACTGATAAGGCTTCTCCCCAGTGTGGATCCGCCGATGCCTCTCCAGGTGTGATCCAACACTGAAGGCCTTCCCGCACTCCTTGCATTGGAACGGTTTCTCTCCGGTGTGGATCCGCTGGTGCCGTTCCAGGTGCGAGGTCCAGCTGAAGCTTTTCCCACATTCTTCACACTTGTACGGTTTGTCACTTGCGTGGCCTTTCTGGTGTGTGGCCAGGGCCTCGGCCTCAGAGAAGCTTTTGTCACACTGGTCACACTTGTGGGATCTTTTGTCGAGGTGCAACCTCTGGTGCCGGAGAAGGTTGGACTTCTGGCTGAAGCTTTTGCCACATTCTGCACATTGGTGATTCTTGCTATGCACTGGTGGTTTTCTAAGGGACATCTGGGGATTGGAAGCAACCATGGTCTGTGGGAGGGGTATGTCTTGCTGCTCCTTTCCTTCGGTTAGGGGGCCCCTCAGCCCAGTCCCTGAAGGTTGTTTCTCAGCCTCCACTGGATTCCTCTCTAGGACATTCCCCTTTTGCAGATTTGTTTTGCTAGGAATTACTTCCGGAGGAACAAGTTCATGTCTTCCTCTCTGTTCTTCCCCTGAGGAGATAAATATTGCAGAGGTGACTTGAACCATCCATTCCATTAAGAGGAAGGTTGCTATAAGGTTATTTCAACATGCATTTGCATTAAATATGTTATATAGCAATAGCAATAGCAGTAGACTTATATACCGCTTCATAGGGCTTTCAGCCCTCTCTAAGCGGTTTACAGAGAGTCAGCATATTGCCCC